GATTTAAGGTGTTTCCTTTTTCTCTGCACCTCCAACCCTTGCCAGGTGATCGTCCCTGGCAAGAAAATTAGATAACTTATTTAGGGAACCATAGTTCAAAAGTGACAAAGTTGAGTCATGACAAAGAAGAGGGTGGAAGTGAAGACTAAAGAAAAAAAGGAGAGTTTAATGATGAAAAAGATTAGAAGTCCCACGCAAATATGCCCAGCTTATCTTTGACAAAGATGAAAAGGAATGCAATGGAGAAAGGGTATACTTTTCAACGAAGGGTACTGGAGCAATTGGACATACACAGGCAAAAAGTTGAGCCTCGACCTAAATCTCACATCTTACATGAAAATTAACTCAAAATAGATTACAGTCTTAAATGTAAAAGGTAAAATTATAAATTTTCTAGGAAAAAATATTCAGAATCTAGGGCTAGGCGAAGAGGCCTTAAGCTTGGCACCAAAAAGCATAATCCATAAAAGAAAACAATGATAAATTAGACCCATCAAAATTACAAACTTTTGCTAATGGCAGATATATAGGTGGCAAATAGGCATATGAAAAGATATTCAACATTAGTAGACATCAGAGGAAAAGAAATTAAAACTACAATGAGCTATAAGTACATACCAGAATAGCTAAAACAAAAAATAGCGACAACGTCAAATGCTGGCCAAGACGCAGAGAAACTAGATCACTCGCATATTGTCGGTGGCAATGTAAAATGGTACGGCCACTCTGGAAAATGGTTTGGAAGTTTCTTATAAAACTAAACATGCACTAGCACAAGACCCAGCAACTGTACTGGGCATTTATCCCAGAGAAAAGAAAACTATGTTGACACCACAACCTGCACATGAATGTCCACAGCAATTTTATTTTATTTGTAATAGCCCATGACAGGAAACAGCCCAGACGCTCTTCATCAAGTCAATGGTTTTTGAAAAGGTGCTCCGTCCACACCTTGGAACAATATTCAATATTAAAAAAGGAACAAACTTTTGTTACATGCAACAACTTGGATGAATTTTGGCAGAATCATGCTGAATGAAAAAGCAAAGCCAATCCCAAAGGTTGCATACTGCTGAATTCCATGGAGATAACATTCTTGAAAGCACAAAATTACAGAAATGGGGAACAGATTATTGGTTGCCAAGGGTTTGGGGCAGGAGAAAAGTGAGCTATAAAAAGACAACAGGAAGAATCCTTGTGTTAATGAAAAATGTTATGTATCTTGATAGCATCTATGCCAATATCCTGGCTGTGAAATTGTACTATAGGTTTACACATTGTTCCCATTAAGGGAAGCTGGGTAAAGGATACATGGGAACTCTGTATCGTTTCCTACAACTGCATGGGGATCTTTAATTATCTCAAAATAAAAAAATATTATGGAAAGTAGTATAGAGATACTTCCAAGAACTAAAAGTAGACCTACCATTTGATCCAGCAATCCCACTACTAGGATTTACCCAAAGGAATAAAAGACATTTTATAAAATAGACACTTGCACTTAAATGTTTGCAGCAGCACAATTCACAATTGCAAAGATGTTGAAACAACCCGAGAGCACACCAACATGAGTGTATTAATAAAAT